ATTGAGGCTTGTTAGTATGGCCTTGGAAATTAAACGCTGCTCTTTCAGCTGCATAGGCTTGATCAATCGCTGCAAATTGTTTAGCATCTGTGAGACGAACACGTTGATCAAAGATTCTGTTGTAATATTTGTAGGGTGGCAAAGGAATCATTTGGGTAAAACCCATTTACCTTGCTAGCTGGGCTGGATTGTAGAACTCAACGCCACAGAAGCTATTCTTTAAAGTAGGCTGGGCAGTGCTGTAATGGAGGTCACGAGCAAGCAGAAAGTTAGCCCAAATATTTTTCCAATCTTCGGAATGTTTTTTGGTAGACACCCCAGGAGATGGAACCAACTATGATGGCATGTGACCAATAGCGGTAAATGGATCAAAGAACACATCATTACCAGTCTCACATTGATTGTAGAAATATTCAAAGTTTTCAGCAAAGCTAAAAGGAGAAGGATCTGCAGTGGCCAAGGAATGGCACAGAAGGGATTTTCCAATTGGAGTGACTAGGGGTGAAGTTCTATTTTGGAAGTACACTTTAAGCCACATTTGGAACAACCAGAAGGGGCCTTGGAACCTTAAAAACTTAGAAGTAAGGAGATCGTGAAGACCTCTGTATAAATGAGAAAGCACAAGGGGAGCCAGTGCCAAATCTCCATTTTTGGCTAAGGAAACGGCCACTTAAACAAAGTCCTTTGTGACCTCGCCGGATGGAACACACAGCAAATGGCCGGGAAGCCAACAAATCAGGAAGGCAATATGTTCATCTTCTTGGATTGGGCCAATTTTCTTACAGTATTTAATGAAAGGAAGATGGGAGGAAATAAATTTCTTACTCCCAGTAGTTTTGGTGGGGAAAATGAATTGTTCAATGAAGAGGGTGGCGCTAACATCATCTCCATGGGGCTTAAGACCTGTAATGCAGCATATATCTCTCAAAGTGGGGACATCATTCCACATTTAAGGTGGAGGGAATTAGTGGTTGACGACCAAAAGAAAAGAACTGGAAAGAGAAGGTTCGGATCAAGTGTAATGGAGGACTTACTGATTTGAATAATGTCATAGATGCCTTGTTTTTTCCACTGAGAAGAAATCTTTTCGTCTTTGGAAAGACGGTTCACCCAAGAGGACCAGGATGAACGGTAGGTTGGCCAATTTCTTATGCTGAAAGAAGGCTTCACTTTTTTTTCCCTTTTTTGAGATGAGAAGGAAATCTGAATCAAAGGGAAGAGGGGATTTACCAGAAGGATAGAATTCGGCTAGTTCAGAGAGAGCTACATCAGTGAAGACTGGACCCAATCCAACTGAAGAATCTTTAAAGTGAATTAAAGGATCAAGATGAAGTCTGGCAGGGTTTAAGGATGTCAAGAGTATTTGAACTTGGTGACTATGGCTTTGTGTCTTCACTTTAGTTTGAATAGAAGGAGTTGGCAGGGATGAGCTAGTAGTTGGCTTAGAAGGTTTCGTAGGGGCCATGATCTGTAATTTTTCGTGGGTGGAGATTTTCCTTTAGGGTTTCAGAAGAAGAAGGAAAGAAGATAGACGGAAGGTTATTGGTGAACGATGAGGATGGATGAGATATATATAGAAGCAGTCAAAGAAGTATTAAGATCTAGGTACACCTCTTGAGGGTGAGTAGTTGAGGTATTTCAAAATTCAAAAGGAGTAATAACTAGGATTGGGAAGCTTGACAGCTTTTAGCCATAAATGGATAGGATTTCCTTTGAGATACGGAATCTTTGGAGAAAGAGTTTGTTTGCAGAGGGAATCGAGGGAATAGCCACATGTTATAAGCATTTTTATATAATGATTATCTTAAGTCTTCCGAGAGTCCAAGGCATGTTCAAAGGGGATTCGGTTGGAATTTTGAAATTCAAAAGGAAAGTAAAGAGGTTTTTATGGGGAATCAAGTAAATCCATTTGGGGGCGCATGATACTTAGGAAGTTGGCGATTTGAAGTAATTAATATGGTAGGAACCAAGGAGATTAATTGTGTTAAGTATGGAAAGGGTGAGTAACAATGATGGTCAGATTTTGATGGCGAAATTCAAATCCCATGCCTTATTTTCATAAAGATCCACAAGGCATGGAATTTGGGGGGCATATGTTTATCCCATTATTTTGCCCAATGGAAATAAGATAAGTGGCGAGATTTGACAAGCTTACCATATTGGCTTAGTATTCTAATTGTTCAAGAATATAGGGATATGACGTGGAATTGTTAGTGAGGCTTATTAATGAAAAATAGTGACATGGCAAGTTTCCATGGAACTTGCCATGTCAGAGTGTAATACTGATAAATATTCCTTTGGAATATTAACGGAGAATCAATTGAGAATGGAAAGTCCTATTAGGACTTACCAAACTTGGGATATAATGTCCTAAAAAGATGAGAAGGTGGCATGGAATTATTACCATGGATGCAAGTCAAAGACTTAACCAACCAATAATTTATCAACATATGGCAAGCTTTATTAAACTTGTCACGGTGGATTAATTCTGTTAAAGATGAATTAATTGGAAGATCCTATTTTTATAGGATCCCAATTAAAATGGGTATTTTCCATTTAAATCAAAGTTGACCAAGTCACGTAAAAGGGACGTGGAGACGATATTTTCTCCTTATTTTTAGGAGACTTCAGCAATTGCCCAAGCCAGGTCAACCTCTGTTACTAAAATTCAACAAGACGCGGGATTTAATTTGTTCTATAAATATATATATATTTGCAAGTATATATATATATTTATTAGGTTTAACCCACGATGGAGAAATCACCATGAAAAAGGAGTCCATGAAGCCATGAGTTCTAAATCTAGATGAAATAAGATTGAAGGGAAGCTGCTATAATTAAGGAAGTGTGCTACGACCATAATCCATGATGTAAAGTCAGTAGAATAGTGGGAGGAAACCACGATGCCGTGAAATTGATATGGCAGGTTCGGCATAAGATCAGGGACGAGGTCTACAAAAGGAAAGGAAGTGGGTTGGATAAACTACCCACGATGGAGAAGTTGCTAAAATTAAGGAGGTCATGGCACCATGAACTCCAAAGCCTAGAAAGGAAAGCTCAACTAGAAGGAAGTTACCCAAAGCTAGGAGAACGTTGTCTACAAATAAATTCCTTATATGTGCATGATATATATAGAGTCGTATAGTGAAAGGAGGGCTCTAACAGAAGTGAAAGACTACTAGAAGTCATGGGACACTTGGCTAAACAGGAATACATCGGTTGAAAATGGTGGAAACCTATAAGGAAACTACCATTAATCAAGGGAAGTTATCAAGGGTCATGGATGACAGGGCAGCAGTTGGTGAAATCGTGTCTGAAGTTAAGAAGATGAGTTGACGGCGTGAGGAAGAAGAACAAAATCATGGGACACTTGCCAAGTCACAAAGAAGACACGTGCGAATTCACTTTGAAACTACCCAAGACACAAATTCGTTAAAGACTAAAGAGGACATGGTTGAAAGCTACAATAGAAGATGGATGAGATGGAAGAACTTATAACTGATGAGGAATCATGGGACATGTAGCAGTCCGGAGTCATTCCACGTGGAAGCTGCTGAAGTGGCCACACCAAGGTGATGCATGCATGAAAAGTTCTATAAATAGAGCACTTAGGCTTCATTTGCAAACCCTGTTCAAATCACACAGCAAAACAGCACTTCAATATCTTTACATTCATGTAATGCACCTTCAATATGTTTAATTCAAGTCTTGCACTTATTATTCCTACTTTCCAGCACTTTTCTTTGAAGTCCTGCACTTTCAATACCGCTTTCCTTTCCACTAGCCATAGTTCAGTCCGAAAGTCCTTTTTCAAGGCAAAAAGAACCCTTGAAGGTGGTAATTCCAGTCCTTCATTCAATCACCTAATCCCTGCAATTTCCTACTGGATAGTTGTTCGGATACTCACTTTGGAACGACAACAGTTCCTGGCACGCCCGACATCCACTCATACTTTCCACTCACCTGGAAAGTGGAACTAGCGCTTTTCTGCGAGCCGAACATATATATATATATGAAAATTTAATGTTACCCCCTTGAAATTATATATATATATAGTTTGCACTAAATCATGGAGAAATTGCGTACGAAGAGGCAAAAGTGATGTATATGTACATATACATCACTTTTGCCTCTTCGTACGCAATTTATATACATATATATCACTTTTGCCTCTTCGTACGCAATTTCTCCATGATTTAGTGCAAACTATACATATATATCACTTTTGCCTCTTCGTACGCAATTTCTCCATGATTTAGTGCAAACCGACACAAAAATACAGTGTAACAGACAATGCAATTCCTTCACCACAGGTAAGAGGGCCAAGATAACCTAGCCCATATAAGTGGGCATCAATTCGTGTTTGGTACCATTTGTTGGAAGAATGGGTTCCACAAGAATATATAAATATATTATAAATAATTTTTTATATTAATTTTTATTAAATTAGAAGTTAAATACCAAATAATTCAGTGTCATCTAATAAATTTTTCATTTATACATCATAATTGGACAAGCCAATCAAGTTTAGTGATTGTAAATTTTGTTCTAAAACTACAGATGTAGAGATTAATTAATTTCCTATTCATTCCTTATATTTCCCTTTAAATAACAAAATGAAATAGAAATTATAAGTAATTGATTGATAAGTAAGGACATAAGTTTTTAATAATATTAAACTTTGAATCTAGACATTTATTCTAAATTTCCATCTATGCAATTAATCTATATAAAAGCTTACCTATCACGCCACATAAATTGGGTGAAAATAAATTTATTGAAATATTGTAAGTGGTGTCTAGAATTTGGTGAGCCATAGATATTTTTCAAAAAAAAAGGAACACGTTGTTTCATTATTTCTACACTAGGCGTCAAAAGAATGGGTTCCACTTATTATCATCATTCATCATTAATGTTTTGAATGTGGATGCGGAAAGATTGGCTGGACTGAAAGTGATGTTACATTACATTCAAAGAATCAAAGGAATAGTGTTATTTACCGGAATAGCCTGAAGAAGGGGAAAAAGATTTGTTCGTTGTAACTTGCTTCGTTTCAAGTAATCTTCCTCCACAATCAGACATTAAGCCTCGAATGTAGCCAAAATGCATCTTGCCTATGAAGCTATTAATACAAATATTAAGTTAATTTGTTATTCTTCAAAAAAAAAAAAAAAAATGAAACAGGAGAGCAAAAGACTATCATTTTTAAAGAAACTTTATTAATTTTAAATTTGTCTTTATTTTTATAAAAGACAAAATCTATAAAAATAGAAAAAACATGTATGGTAATAAATTCATTAAAATAATTTCCAAATATGATTACTATCTTTCATTTCTTTTCATTTATAAGTCAACCAAACACAATAAGTACCTCATACTATTCTCTTATTTCATTTCTTTTTTCTTCTTTTATAAACTTTATTGATTTCAAATTATGAAATTAAAAAAATTTCTTCAATTATCTTCAATAAAGCGTGTGGAAATTATGAAATTGAAATATTTTTCTCAATTGATAATGCTTATGGAAATTATGAAATTGAAGAAATTCTTCAATAAAGTGGACGTGGCAAGATTCGCTGGACTGAAAGTGATAATGTTACATTCAAAGAAAGAAAGGAAGAGTGTTATTTACTAGAATAGCCCTTAGGAAGGGAAAAGGCCTTGACAAGAAGTAGCATAGTATGGTTTGGTTCACTCTTACTTTAAGGTCAGGAGAATTTGAAAAAAAATTACATATCCTTTTGCAAGTTAGAGGCATAATGCTAATTATTATGAGTATTAAAAAAATCTTAAAAGTAGAATCCCATTATCTAATTCATTTTAAATCCCTACTGCTAAAAGAATATAAGAATCTCCATCTTTGATTTCAATAACTATGGATTTAGAGATCAATTAATTTCCTATTCATTCCTTATATTTCCCTTTAAATAACAAAGCATTATAATAATGCGTAAAAATCAAATAAAATAGAAATTATGAGCAACTGATTGAAAAGTAAGAGCAGAAAATTTTCATGATATTAAAAATGGAAACTCCGTTTTAATTACCAGAATAGCCCTGAGATGGGAAAATGTTGTGTTCTTCCTTATAACTTCCTCCTCAATCAGACCTCAAGGCTCAATCCCAACATATACAAATACAAAATATATACGTGACAAATAGATTATACAGAGAAATGGGGTAAAATTAAGGAAGGATTTACCAGTTGGTTTAATCATGAAGTAGTGAGAAACAAAGGAAGGAAGGTCCATCGTATTTGATGCAGCAAGGGTGCTGATGAATCTGCCTCTTCAGATGATCTACCGTTGACTCGCGACAGCTGTGATTGATACTTCCAACGGTTCCGATCTCGGATCCTTTATCCCCATTTATGAACTTCATCCACGATCACCGAATTTACGCTCCAATGAATAAGCCCGAATAATTTTCTTGGGCCAACTGAAAACTGTCGACTTTTTCTAACGCCTTTTTTATTTATTTATCTCATTTTTATTTAGGATTTATATTAACAAAACAATTCAAAAAAAAAAAAAAAAAGGAGGAAAATTTGAAATCCTTAAATAATAATGGGGACAAATCAAGTGTAAGCAAATAAGTCAAATATGCTCGTGAAGGCAACGTTGTTGTTTTGTGTTTTCATTTCCATTCAATATATATATATATATATATATATATTGTTGTGGTTTGTATATATTTGAGATTGAAAACATGTTTAGTAATGTAAAATTTGTAATATGGATTTTTTAAAACAAGAATATAAAAATATATTTGATAACAGTAAAAGTGTTGCACAAATTTTGGCACTAAAACACTTTAAACAAATAAGATAACAAGCAAGTGTTGCTAAAAAAAAATTGGTAGTTAAAATAAAAATCATTTTGGTAATAAGTATTTCCAATGATAGAAGACACTATTTTCTACTGCTAAGGCATTGACACTCAACAGGAGAATTTTAAATACAACTTAGAATATGCTTAAACTAAAATTAAATTATATTATGTTTGCTGATGTCTAGTTAGTATTTTGTGCAGGAAAGATTTCCTCTCCATTAATGTTTATTATATAAGCTTTGGGTAGGCATTTACATGTGTAAACACTTCTAAATTGTACAAGACGCAGTGTTTTGAAGAAAATAGTAAACACTGGAGAGTGTGCAAAGCCGTATAGGCTGGTTTTGACACGAAGACAAGCTAAACTATTTCTAAGCAATTTTTCACATTGTGGTTAGCTATCCTTGATAAAATTCCTACAATAATCGGATTAAATCATTGGCCTCTCATTTACTGGAGTTTCAATTTGAAAATAAAGGAACTTCAGAATCTTGAAGAACAAGTATAGAGTTGAAATGAGTGTAAAAATTTTCCTCGAAAAGTTTGGCTCTACTGTTTTGGCTTTCCTATTTGTTACTTGATTTGGCTTGTCCATGCAATTGGAACTTCATCATCTAGTTTCTATACTAAATGACACTGATTAAATTTTGCCCTAAGGCATTTTCCAGTTGTTTAATAAAGACTGGATTGAACAATATGAGAGTATTGGCTCTTGCAACACACAAATTATACATTTTTCACTTGTTTGATCAACAGTGGAATTAACAATAACTCAAAGTATTGGCTATTTAAAAAACATATGGCTACCCTTTGATTGAAACTTTCCTTTTGTTCCATGGTTCAACTTTATAATAATAATCAAATGAACAATTGAGAACATGTACATGACCAATAGTTAGTGGTACCGAACCACTAGTACTTTAATAGGAGAGATTATGAATTCGAGTTTCAGTAGAGTCATGTGTGTGTAAATTATCAACTAAAAAAAAAAAAAAAAACATGTACATCCATTTTTTATTAAAAAAAAAAAAAAAAGTAATAATAATAATAGAATTAACACTTGGAAATTGGAATTTGACACGAAAAACATTATAAGAATTGGAAGTTGCAAATGCATTGAATAAAATATTGAATTAACTGCATTTGACGTGAACAATGACAACTGTTTTGTATAATTTCTGTCAATATATATATACAACTGTGTAGTAGCATAATAGTATACTATGTGGTATACATCAGATCTGCTAAATTAGCATAATACAAGAGAAAAACAACAACATCATCCAGTAACAACACAAAAGGCAATTAACTAAAGAGTACCATCCAAGTGACACTGTAACGACCCGAACCCGAGGGTCCGAATCGTTAACCAGGTCCGTACCCGAACCCGAGGTCAACTAAGGGCACTATTATCATTTCCTATGTCAGTCCATATTATACGTGTCATCCCAAGGTTTATAAAAATAATAATAATAATAAAAATAATAATATATAAATAAATAAATAATAATAAAATGAAATCATAGCTACAAAGTATGTCAAAACGGTCTACTAACCCATCGAACCTTGTGGAGGAGCATCTTCCGCCACTTCCCGTCCGTGTACTGAAAAATGTTAAATATAAGGGGTGAACAAATTGCTCAGTATGAAGTGTTTAAGACACACCTCTTATGACCCCGTGAATCCACATAGAGAATAGAAAGCAAGAGAACGGGATCATATCTCGGGAGTCAAGTAAAACCACTGTATCATCAACAAACATAGTCAAGTAAAACCACTGTATCATCAACAAACATACATATCTCAACCAATTACCAAATGCATCACGTATGCTAATGATGTGCCATGCCATGTAATATCACTACTCGTTTCTGGAACCGTACCATTTCAACTTCTAAACCGTTAATGTAATTCGATCCAAGGCACCTCCAAGGCATCACGAAAGGGGGATTGGCTAACCATCCACAATCATAAGGCACCTCCAAGGTGTCGCATCCGGCCTGGCTACCTCAACCACACTGGGGTCTCTCCCTAGTCCCCTCTCTAGATCACACTAACACCACGGACCACTAGGCGCCTCCTAGGCGTCCGGGTTTTCACAAATACTTTTCAAAAACTTTTCCCCGAAACAATTTCATTGGTTTTTAAAAAAAATATTTTTCCCCTTTTTCTTTCCCAGTGAATGCATGAATGCTTCATGCTTCACAATTTACCATAATTTTCATATCATCAAACCTTAACAACATTCCATACTAAAGAAGAATTTTCTCATAAATTTATAGCACGCTTTAAGTTAACAAAATTTCTACAATTACACATATTAAACAAGGACACAATCACAAAAGTATGTTTTTCATATCCAATCAACAAATTATGCACACATATATTATTTACACATAACACACATAGAGATACACATCATATATCTAGCATTATGGCAATTTCTCAAGAAAAAATTACAATAAATCCCATGCATTCCATCTACATCATGATCACATTATTAAGGGAAATTCCAACATTTTTTTTCATAATTTAAACATCACTTTTCTTAACAATTAAAAATCATGGGGCACTTAAAATGTCAATACTGAGCATGTGTCTTCACCACCAAGTATATAACCATAATCATTGGTTCAATTAACACATATAATACATCCATTACCTTAATTACATACAACCACAACAACATAGGCAAAATTGCTAAAATCAAACATGCTTAGGATCAAATTAAAAGGGAAAATTCACAAAAGATCAAAGAAAATTTGAATTAGAACATCCCTACCTCAATTTGTAGAAAAACCCTCAAAATGGGTCTCAAAACTCGAAATCCTAGGGAGGACCAAAACTGAAATTGCTTGTACTCACACGTAAATCTCGCCGTGCTCTCCGTTTTGCCGCAAACGACTCCCAAAAACTCTAAGAAATGAGAGATTAATTGAAACTTTAGTTTTTGATACAAAAGAAAAAGAAAAATGAAGAACAAAAGAGGGAGAGAGAGGATTAGGGGAGAGAGAGATGATCTGGGAGGCCATATGTGGCCTTCATGCCACTTAAAGATAAGTGGTGGGTCCCACCACTTTCTAAATTAAAATTTTTCTTTTTTATTTGTACACCACAATTATATATATGTATAATTCACAAACATTACAGACACCAACGAATAGTGACACCAACACAAAGTCCACAGGCAGCACCCAACCCTCAGAGCTTCAACAATCAAGACAGTAGTAACAGCAACAAAATCTATGCAACCAAATTAAAATTGGTTAAGCAACCAAAAATACCACTCAACCATAGCATAGCCATTAGGAAATGAAAGCAAGCATTCATTTAGACATCTATGATCAATTTCACCAAAATTGAGCAAGGGCTGCCAGGCCAATTCCACTTTGAGACTATTATCGATATAATACAACGTTTTTAATTGTCGTTAATATAGAACTTCACATGTGGACACATAGAGAGAGATTATTAGGCACCTGAATGATATTAGAGACCAAATAAGTCCCAAAAGGCTTGATTAGGTGTTGGGATTTTTTATGAGCTTCCATGATTAGAATGAGCCTTGTCACGACACTAGTAGGTGGCATCTGTTGCTTCTTTTCTTCATCTCCTTCCTTGTCCACCTTCTTCAGGCTTGTAAAGGGAGAACCGCTTGCCCGAAATTTCGAACTATCCTCTATCTCCATGCATTCCTGTATATCAGCAAGACTTTCATTTCCTTGACAAGCCAATAAAAGATTAACCATCTCATCAAATATGAGCTTCTCTTTTGACTTCATTTTTTTTTTTTTTTTCATTTTTAGCCAGCAAAATTCAAATTGTGGTTCAAACAATATGATTTAATTAAGTTGTACCATGAATCTCCTAGTATTTATGAAGACATTAGACCTTACTACAAAGTGTGTTTTTTCCATAAAAGCAGAAATTGAATCATTGGTCCTTCCCAGCTCTCAAACCACAATTGAGGACATGTTAGGTATATATTACCATTATTAACATATATCTAAATTTGATAAATAACAAATTTTCTGCACATTAGTAGTTGACAAGTAAAATGAGAAATTTTTTTGACTTTAATATGAGCCAAAAATTTTGTATCCAAACAATTTTAAGAAACAAAACATCTTACGAAAACATTTTGATTCCTTTAAAGCTTTGAAGATTGTTCTTTAATACATGACCTCAAACCCTAACCAATAAACCAACTAAAATATCAAAATAATCAATTCATCGTTGTGTTGCAAAGGTATTAGAATACCTCGAGCGAAGATTGTCTCTCTATGTTCAGAGATTGATTGAATGCTTGAAATGGAGCCCTAACATATTAATGGCCTCTCGAAGTTGAAGAGATTATGAAATTGATCTTTCATTCATTCTTTTGACATGCATGTGTGTAGTTGGAGCTTCAATTGCGAGCCCTAAAATCCACAAGAATTATAGAACGATGTCTCCATGACTCCATTTGCGCTTCAAGCTGAGCCATAGTCTCGAAATCACCTCGAAGTGGAAGAGTTCTTAAGAACGGTGAAATGATGGGGAGGAGAGAGAGAGAGAGCGACTACGCCCTAACAGAAGAAAACACACTAAGAGAGAACAGAGAAACAATCACAATTACAATCAATTGAGGGGGAAAAAACCATCATACGAAGACAAAATAGATTAGCAAAAAATAGATAATTACCATGACATCCTGCAATTTTCTTAGTGACTTGCGTGCTCTCCACGCTGAACAAAACAATGCTTTGGAAGGTCTGGTAATTTTCCTAGTGACTTGCATCTAGAAATGTTCAAGTTTCCTAGGAGTTTTAGTTCCTCAAGTCCCCAAATCTCAGAAAGTTTCTCACAATTACAAAGACGTAATTCCCTTAAATTTGTTAGTCTGGACAGATCTGGTGTCCTTTCCAAGGCCGTGCATGATGACAAGTCCAGCTCTCTTAGGAGTTCGAGTTTTTCAAGTCCACAAATCTCACTAAGTTTCTCACAGTGACTAAGTTGCAGTCTCTCTAAATTTGTTAATCTGGATAAATCAGGTGTCCTTTCCAAGGCCGTGCAATATGACAAGTCAACCTCTTTTAGGAGTTCCAGTTCTTCAAGCCTCAAGGTCTCAATAAGTTTCTCAGAGTCACAAAGTTGCAATTCCTCTAAATTTGTTAGTTTCGACAAATCAGGTATCCTCTCCAAGGCCGTGCACCATGACAAATCTAGCATCTTCAAGGATTCCAATCTATCAAGGCCTGTAATTTCATTCAGATTCATGCACTCTGCAATACTTAATTTCCTTACCTTCTTCAAGTTGGAAAGATCGGGTAATGTTTCTAGTGATTCGCACCCATCTAAATTTAATTCTGTTAGGAGTTCTAATCTTCCAAGGCAAGGAATCTCCCTTAATTCTAAACATTGCACAACACATAGACTTGATAAGTTTTTCAAATTTGATAGATCTGGCAACCTCTTCATTGACTTACAATCTCTAACATATAGTGAGTTTAGACTTGAGGGAAGAGCTGGAAGGCATTGAAGATGTTCACAATTTTCAACATTGAGAGACGTAAGAGTTGAGGGAAGAACTGGAAGGCATTGAAGTTGTTCACAATTATATACATTGAGAGATGTAAGCTGAGAAAGGACACCAATACCTTCAGGAATTTTCAACAGCTTATAGCATTCAATAATTTCCAACTCCTTTAGGTTCACCAGGCTAGGAAGGTTTAGAAATGTCTCCATTGACCTGCAAGTGACTTTTAGACTCACTAGGCTAGGAAGGTTTAGAAATGTCTCCATTGACCTGCAAGTGACTTTTAGACTCGCTAGACTAGGGGGAAGATCTGGGACAAACTCAAGATTTTTGCAACGCCATAAATCAAGGGTTTGGAGTTGAGAAAGCCCACAAATGCTTGTTGGTAGACCACAGATATGTGTTGAATCTAATCTTAAGATTCTCAGAGAGGATAGTCCCCCAAAATTACTAGGAATTTTGCCTCTCAAACTGCAACGCGAGGCATGTAACTCTTCAAGTTTCATCAACATTCCAATGGTACTAGGTAACTTCACTATCAAACCAGATTTCATCTTAAGAATTCTCAAACGATTTAGGTTGCCAATAGTATCTGGCAATTCTGTAATGGCTGTTGATGACAAGTCCAGCTCAATTAATGATTCTAATTTCCCAATGGAGTCTGGAATCTCTTTTAATTTGCAGCCCCTTAGGGACAAGCGTCGCAATTTCACTAGTGAACCAATCGAGTCTGGTAGTTTAGTGATACCAAATGAATCACCAAATGAAAGGTCCAACAAAGATGTTAGGTGACCGATTAAGGTCGAAATTTGAGTCAATGACAGACAATCAGTGGCACTGAGAGTTTCAAGCTTCTTCATAACTCTTCTACCAACAGGGACTTCTTCTATACAAGTACCATCGATAAGGAGTTCTGTTAAAGCTTCCACTTTATCAAATTCCCTAGGCAGCCTGTTGAGTTTATGACAATTCTTCAAATTTAAGAAAACTAGACACTTGAGATGCCCAATTGATGGGTCAATATCAACCAAACTCCAACAGTCTTCAAGAATCAATCTTTCTAAAGTTGCATATGAAGAGAAGTCAGGAGTCCTAACCATCTTTATACAACATGTGAGATTTAGAACTTTCAACTTTGTTGCAATCTGCAAAATAAGGAAAAAGAGAATTTCTTAGAATCAATTACGGAGAATTATGTGATGAGATACACGAAACAAAAGCAGAGAAATTGATGAAACCTTGATATAATTCCAACCCTCCCAATCTTCTGTGACCATGCTCTGTGATAAATCAAGAATGACCAGATTCTTTAGATGAAAATTGGTTGGGCTAAAAATTTCAGGACATCCTTTCCAGCAAAGCCATCTCAAATTTAAAAGAAGACCATTAAAATCTCCATCTAGCTTTGCGAAGTCCATTTGAAGGAACCTTAGATTAGATAGGTTTGCAAATTCTTCATTTGTAAGACAGAGAGCTTCAACCTGTGACTCTAATTCAAAGTCTTCAACCTCAGACTCTGATTCTGAGTCTTCAACCTCAGACTCTGATTCTGAGTCTGCAACCTGTGACTCTAATTTAAAGTCTTCATTTGTAAAAGATGAGATTTTGAGAGCTTTAACCATTGTTGTTCCCTGCCAAAAGAGAACATTTAGATAAGTTGATAATTAGGGGGAATGATCTGCAAAAGGTGAGAATTTGAGAGGTAATCTATCATAAAGTGGGAATGTAACATTAATAATGAGATGAAACCTATATCAGGATGCTCAATAATAAATGTCCTTGAAAACTATGGTTTGGGTACAACCATAAGTGGCATTTGCAGGCTATATAGGTTTTTAATGGCCGACTTGTTGAGCAGGAGTGGCTCAATATAAGCTAAGGCTAAGGCAATACAAGAGAATATTCATGTGGTAATATAATTAATATTCATTAACTTTCTATGTTAATGTGTGTGTGTGTGTGTATAATATTGTTCTTTCTTCTTGAGATGCAAAATTATAAATTTTTGTTTAAAATCTTTGTTATTTATTTACTATTTTTTTAATTTTTTGGTAATATTTTGTTAATCCTTACAAGAGCTTCTTTTTTAAATAAATAAAAAAACAAAAATGGAATTAATTATCCCAACCCCTTGTTTTTTCCTTTTAGAAATTTTTACTAATTCTACTTCACATTTTTAAATAAAACATATTTACATATTAAAAAAAAAAAAGGGTAAATTAAAGAACAATAGAACCGACCTTATCCAAGATTTATTGAAAGTGTTTTAATTATAAAAATGCAAGATTTTCTCACCTAGAAATTAAACATAAAGATAATTAACTAATCTGCTTAATCATGTAAAAAACATAACGAGTTTAGAAGAATATAGAAAGGAGGAGTTGATCGATATAAGTGAAAACGTGTGAGAGGAGAAATTGCTTGAGATTCTTGACATTAAAAATAGTAAAATGGGCCAAGTAGAAAGAGAATGTATAAAGGGTTCATAGCTCACACATAATTGTGTTAGTAAGGTGACAAGAAAATTAATGCATAACAAGGATATCATGAAGGAGTTAGATCTTACTGTATGACTCTCCAATACGTCGATGGCTTCCTCATGAAACCACACCCTACTACACTTCCCCGGCATTTCAACATTTTCTTGACGAACAATATATCTACCAAGGTCTCTAAGCTGGTCATGCATCCTTAGCTCATTATTATCTCCAATTTTCACCAACAACCGGCGGCGAAGAACTCCTATCTCTGCTTTGGGAAAATTCCACATGTGGACAGCAATTCTTTCATCCACCCCAATGAAAAGGCATGCAATATCAAGAAATATTTGTTGTTGATTATGGTCTAATGCATCGTAACTTATTTTCAGCCTATCCGTCACATCTTTATGCGGGATTCTTTTCAACTTGTTTATTGTATCTTCCCATTCCTCTTTTCCAATGCTAATAAAAAGTGAGCCAAAAACCTCAAGAGCCAAAGGCAACCCTCCAGTAGTAGACACAACATCTTTAGAGAGAGAGTAATAGTCTTGTGGGGGACGGTCCATTCTAAAAGCATGTCTGCTGAAAAGTTGAAGAGATTGACTATCATCCAATTCCTCTGGCTTGTAAGTCCTACAATCTACCTCAGGCATATTTAGGACCTCTTCGTTTCTAGTTGTGACAATTATCCTACTTCCTGAACGAAACCAATCACACTTCCCCAAAAGTGCAAATGCATGAAGATGATTTCTGTGATCAACATCATCAACAACAAGAAGAATTTTCTTCCCAGAAAATCTCTGTTTGATTGCATTAAGGCCATCATCCATAGACCTAATTAAGACAGAGTGTCCCTGTTTCAAGATGCTAGATACAAGTTGGTTTTGCAAATCAACAAGTCCATTGCGTTGTTGAGCTTTTCCTCTAACGTCTGCAAGGAAGCAACAGGATTCAAATTCAGATTTCTTTTGGGAGAGATTGTTGTAGATGACCCTGGCAATAGTGGTCTTGCCGATACCTCCCATGCCAAGGATTCCCACAATCCTTACATCTTTGGAATTAACACTCAACAATTTCATCATTCCTTCTACATGAACATCAATTCCAACTAAGCATTCATGATTTACATCCAATGAGTTCATTTTCAGCTTTTCCCATACCTCTGAAACAATGTCCTTTACCAGTGCTCCTTCATGCCTGCCAAACATAATTGATGTCAGATGTATATCGGAAAAATGATAAATATATATCGCCTATTTAAATTTTCAACAGTTATTTTCTATTCTCAGAAAATTAAAAATAAAAAGTAGATTCAAAATTCATTTGATTAACAAACTGTTGCTAATTTGTAAATTAAGTTAAACTTAACCAAACAAATTCAAAGTTGGCTCGAAAAAGGAGGAAAATAATGATGATTTTATTTTTCTCTCTAAAAGTTCAATCAATGTACACACACCCATAATATTGCCCATGGCTCCAAAACTCAAGCTCCCCTTTGGGAGTATACCATCGGGTGGTAAATAACATGAAAAGTAACAAGAGCAGAATCAATATATATATATATATATAAACTATAACTATGTATATACATGTATGAATGTAGATATATACAGATGCAATTACCCATCAGAGCAGAAAAAAAATATATTTTTTCTTGTTATACTCTTCCTTAATTTTTATTTTTAAAAAAAAAATTCATATATAATTCCGATTAATCAACCAAATCTTAAAAGGTTATGTCAAACAAAATTAATTTTTTTTTCTTTTTATAAAATTGTCTATTATAATAATTTTACTTCAATTGTAATTAATCATTAATTTAAATACTATCACTTCCCTAAAACGGTGCAAGATTATATTAACGGTAGGATTAGATCCTACAACTATAATTGAAAATGAGTTAGTATACTTTTTCTTACTCCGTGTATATATATATAAATATAAATATGTATATGCATGGATGGTAGACAGATGCAATTACCCATCAGCAAATTTCTTCACTTCCCGTCCCGTCAATCCCCCGACCTCCTTCAATGCCTCCTTCCAACCCTCCACAGTATCACCATCAATATTATTCTTCTTGTGTTCCTGGAAGGCCTTTTCGTAACTCCCCTTCTGCTCTCGCACATCGGAGGGTTTGACGTCGTAGAAAATGGGAATTATGATGTGCTCCCGAGTCTCCATACACTCAACCATCTTGGTGAGCTCACGCAGGCACCACTCACTTGAAGCATAGTCTTCGGAAAAGATGGGAATGGATATCTTTGATTGCTCGATTGCGTTGAGAATCTCACTAATATTCTCTCCAAGGCGAAGCGCCTTGTCGTCTCTAAACGTGTGGATTCCTTTCTCCCGAAGGTCGCAGTAGAGGTGATCAGTGAATCTCTTACGAGTATCCTCGCCTCTGAAACTCAAGAAGACTTCATAGTCCCATCCTGCAGCAGCAGGTGGAGAGGTGGACGATGAACAAGTGTTGGAAGGTGGTAATGAAGTGTTCTTGGTAATCTTCCTCTTCTTATTCTTGAACACAACCTTCATGACCACCCTATCTCTCTTCCTCTTAGCTAGCTTTTTCTTGTTCTTCATGTGTGTGATGAGACCAGGTAGCCATAAAGGGTTCTTTGTATGCATTTCAAATGTGTTGAGAGGAAACACTTATGCAGTGATGAGTTGCTGTTATGTTTGAGTGGTTAGAAATGAAAATGATGAGAAACTAATTATCAGTAGGTGTTCACTTACTTATCATTACTGGTATTGTTTTGAATGTAAACGCAAAGCTTTTCTATGGCCTACAATTGGCCATCATTTCGTGGAACATAAATCCACTACCACTACTTTCCCAAAAAAAAAAATTTTCCACAACCACTATGCGTCAAAAAAATGGGTCCCAGTTTTTGTCATCATATTATTCATCCGCCCAAATTATGTTAAGATGTTTTATTTGTTTGTTTTATAAATGTTAGACTCAAGTGAATAAATTGTTGAGAAAGTAAAAACTAATTTAAGTTTTATGTCAAGTAATTGGTAGTCATTAGTTGTGTTTCTAACAAAAATTAGATAAATTTGAGTCTGATTTGATCATTAGTAAACGAATTAAAAAAAAAATTTCTTTTCTTCCCATAATACTAAAATGCACGAAAAAAAAAAAAAAAAAAAAAGAATCTAAGCAATGAAATTTAACCAAAACAATGATAATAAATAAGTGGGCCGATTTTGATCGAATTTTCACACTGTAATTTGACAGAACAAGGGTGATTGGCGTCAAAAGAAGAATGGGCTCACCATTATTGTTTTGAATGTGAACGTGGTAAGATTAGGAAGGGAAAAGGTTTGTTCCCTGCAACTTCCTTCGTCTTCGTCTGAACTCTGAAGGAAGCTTCCTCCGCAATCAGACCTCAAACCTCAATCCCAACATATACAAATACAAAATATATAAATGTGACTGTGTATGTATACAGGTAGAGAGAGATAAATGGGAGTAAAATTTAGGAAGAATTTACCAGTTGGTTTGGTCTTGAACTAGTGAAAAATCACCAATTTTATCAACCAAATTGAAACATGCTAACCAAACTCCATTCTAGATGGGCAGACAGATGGCTTAAAACTAAGGGTGGCATGATTTTACACAGCTCGTCAACACGACTCGAACACGACACAAGATAAAATAATTTGAATTTATCTTAAATAGGTTTGGGTCATAAACGGATCAACACGATTAACTCGTTTAATTAATAGTGTCGTGCTAGGGTTGAGAGATTCAACACGTGTAACCTATTTAGACCCGTTTAATTAAGAGTTTCATAATCTTATTAATATAACCCGTATAACTTATTACCTATTTAGATCCCATCACTATAGATACGTAGGTCAATTCAACATAAGTCCTAACAAAAATATACATAAGCTTTTTAATTATGTATATTTATTATAGTATTTATTATTTGATTGAGTATTATAAATAATTTAAATAATATACTATTCGGTTTTGATAAATAGGTCATTAAACAAGTTAATACATTTAACCCGTTTAATAAACAGGTCGGGTTAGTGTTAAGAGTTCTTGACACGATTATTAAATGGATTGGGTTAGTGTTGACCTCTTCAATATAATACTCTTAAGTTGACACGATTATGACATGCGAACATGAATTGTCACCCTTACTAAAAATTCTCATTTAAAACCCTTTTTTAGACTAATATCTCCTTTTCAAGAGTTATTATTATTTATTAATTTCATTTACATTGGCATTCTTATTTCAATCTCTTTTCACCCATTTTAAGTTTCAGCAAACTAAATTACACTGATAAAATGTTGCCCTAAGGAATTGTCCGGTTGGGATAAAGATTTTGAATGAACAATATGAGAGTATTGTCTCTTGCAAACAAAAATTATTGTGACGTCACTTATGACTAACCAATGGAACCTCTACAGTCTACATGTATTTTCAATTTTTCCAAATCAAGAGTGGAATATATAATGATTTAGAGAATTGGCTATTTCAAAAACGTATGGCCAGCCTTTTGACTGCAAAGCCGCTAACTATGTACATTCATTTCAAGTACATCTATCAAACAGTTACATCCATTAGGAGCAACTCTCTGCACATAAACAACCAATGATAACATAAGATGGATTGATGAAAAGTTGAAAACCTTGCAACTAGCACTAATGTCTTGTTATAATCTATGATTATATTGCCCTTTTGACAGCCATATCTTGCTAGATGCAGCAATCTACAATATTGTCAAATGTATAAACAGCTCTTCAACCAAGTAAACTCTAAAACTACAAAGGAAACTAAAAACAAAAAAGAAACAAATTACTTAAGAAAACTAAAAATATAAAGAAAATTACCTAAAATTAAAAACTCTTTAAAAAAAATAAAATATAAATAAATAAATAAACCAAATAAAAAAATACTAAAATCTGTTTGTGTCAAAAGTTAAGATCAACATGTTTGTGTCAAAAGTTTGAGAAATAACAGCTCTATTGTTGGACCAAATGGAGGAAAGAACATATTAAGATCACCATAGTTGAAATTTTCCAGCTTATGTGAAGGTGTCATGGTCAGGAAAAGCATGGTAATGTTGAAAATTTGAAGAAATAATAAATTTGTATTTGGGTATGTATGGAACAGGTTGTTACATATCAAAATTAGTATTTATATAAATATATTAAAAAAAAATTACCATCACGAAGGTGTCATGGTCAGCAAGCAAACGCATGCTTATGTTGAAAATTTGTAGAAATAATAATTTGTATTCGGGTAGGTATGGGACCGGTTGTTACATATCAATATTACTATTTATATGAATATATTAAAAAAATTACCATCAAGAAGGTGTCATAGTCAGCAAGCAAACGCATGCTTGTGTTGAAAATTTGAAGAAATAATAATTTTTTTTTGGGTAGGTGGAAGAGGATACATATCAATATTACTTTTTATCAAAAAAATCAGCTTCATTATACAAAATTTTCAATTTATACGAAGGTGTCATAGTAGCAAAGCAAACACATGCTTATGTTAAAATTTTCATGTATTGTTTTTCATTCATCATCATTGTCGTAAAACAAAAAAATAACACAATGAAGAAGTGTTCAGAGGTGGTACTGTAGGTGCTGATGAAGTGTTGATCATCTTCTTCAAAATGAACACAAGAAAGGTGAGGAGAATTGCAGGAAGTGCGATGAGACAAGATAGCCATAAACAGATCGTTGAATCCATTTCAAATGTGCAAGAGGAGAGTCTCGGTACTGATGAGTTCCGGTTAAGTTTTTTTTTTTTTTTGGTAAATAAGTTCCTTTTAAGTTTCAGTGGCTAGAAATGAAAATGATGGGAACTCAACTTTTTTTCACATCGTTTTTTATTTAATTTTCACATAGTGACAGTGATATGCAACCTAACCCTTAATTTTCACCTCGTTTTTGACATTCTTGTCTATCATTCGGCACATGATTCATGATAGTGATATGCAACCAAATTTTTTTTGACCGAGACATCGTTTAGCAAACGGCATCCTTAAGTAAAATGCAAACTTTCTTGTATTGTTTTTGTGTCTGGCCCCTTATTTCTTGGACTTGGTCTTGTTCTTTAGTGGCTTCCTTTTCTTGCCTTTCTCAATCAATACAATATTTTTATTAGGATAAATTAACATTGACCTTCTCTAATATTTGATTTTCACGTAGTGACAGTGATATGCAACCCAACCCTCAATTTTCACATTGTCTTTTACTTTCTTGTCTATCATTCGGCACATGATTCATGATAGTGATATGCAACCCACCTCTTTTTGACTGGGACATCGTTTAGCAAATGGCAACCTTAATATTTTTGCATCTATTCAAACACTAAAAAAATATTTTCTCTTACGATTCTTTTTTTATCTATTCAAACTCTAAAAAAATTTAATAATTTTCTTTTTCTTCTTTTCTAATTAATTCCATCTAACCAAACGAAGTCTAAGGGATAATTTGGAAAAATTTTAAAATTTTTAACAATTTGATTAGCGTGAAAAGAAAACTTTTCAAGAAAGGAATATTTCCGCAACTGTTTGATTTTTCTCAAAATGTTTCCTTCATAAAATACGCAAAAAAATTTAGTTTCGCATGAAAGGTGTATCTTTATATATTAGTTTTCTCTTATACCCTTGTAAGTTGTTTCTCCTTATTCTTCTTAAGACTCACAAAAAGAGAGTTTTCTTACACAAATTAATACTCCTAATTTGATTACAATAAAAACTATATAAACTATATAAAGAGACTGTGATGTTTCTAATTTTCGTCATTTTTTTGGAATTTTGTCACCTCAAGGGCATTTTCGTCTTTTCACGTTTTTCGTACGGAATTTTAGTTGGGTCCATTTGCATTTCACATATTTTATTTTATGTGAATTAAGTGGCATTTACTTAGTGGTACATGTATTTATTTGTGTAGTGTAGAAATTAAAATAAAGAAAAAGGAAAAAGTCAAAAATGTTGGTGGTGGGACCCACCACTATTGTTTAAGTGGTCTAGAGACCACTCTTGCTCCCTCATTTTCTCCTCCCCGTAAGTTTCTCCCTCTCCTTCATTCCTTCTTCATTTTTCTTTTCTTTCGGTCTCAAGACTTCAAATCTTGATTCCATCCTCAATACTTTGAATTTTTAAATGCCGTTTGAGGCAAAACGGAGAGCATGACGAGCTCTACACATGAGTACCATCAATTTCAGCTTTGAGCCTCCTTAGGGACTTCGAATTTAGAGACCCATTTTAAGGGTTTTGCATCAATTTGACGTAAGGGTTCTTAATTCATGTTTTTCTTGCTCCTTGATGATTTATATCTCATAAAATTGTTGTAAAGCATGTTTGTTTTGAATTAATTGTTCTAAAGATGATGTAAATGTTACATGTGAAGTTGTGGTCAATTGTTCTATGTGAATTGTATGAGAACATGCTTGTTTGGTTAAATTCTTTGCCTAATAGTTGATCTCCCATGTCTATATTGTTATAGAACTTGCTAGAAATAATACGTGATAGTATGTGTAATTTCTCTAGAGTACTTGTAAAGTATGCTCAATTGTGTAGTATAAAAGCCCTCATATCCATGACATTAAGAACATGAGATGTACATGTATACCATGGGACATGAATGGGGAGAATTGTTTTGAAAAGAAAATGGGGAATTTTGGGAAAGTGTTTTGACAAATTGGTTTTATGAAAACCCGGTCGCCGCGGGGGTACTAAAGGGCCGGAGGGTTA